AACTTTAACTGATTATGGCATAAATTGTCCCATATCATCTATTATGTGTGATAATTCTAGTGCAATTAATTTATCTAAAAATCCTATTCAACACTCACGTACAAAACACATTGATATTAGACATCATTTTTTACGTGATCATGTTCTTAAAGGTGACATATCATTAGAGTTTATACCTACAGATAAACAAATTGCAGATATATTAACAAAACCACTAAAAGAAGAAGTTTATGTTAAATTAAGAAGGGAATTAGGTATATGTTCAATTGAAGATTTAAATTAATTTTTAAAACAAAAATACATAAATTTAAACCTTAAGTAGTCGATTAATCTAACTTATAGTCGACTACATGCACAATTCTTACAAACTATTTTTCTGAAAAATCAGATTATAGTCGACTACTTACCTTTATAGTCGACTACTCAATGTAAAATCTTAAAAATACTCTCTGTTGATTACAGTGTAGTCGACTAATTCACATATTGGTCGACTACTCAGAGTTAAAAACTAAAACTTAACCTTCTATCTTTTACAGTATAGTCGACTATTTTGACTATTAGTCGACTACTAATTCTGAACCTTTAGTTTATTAAGAAAAGTGGATTTTTTATGTTTTAAACCCAATATCCAATAACCCTACCCGTTTTACTTTAGTAAAAATCATCTAAACCATTCATTTTTAACTGCACCAATCCTAACCATTCATCTAAAATTTAATCTTGACCCTACATTCTATTTACCATCTAATCTAAACCTTACATTATTAAAAGATAAATTAAAAAGCAAAAATAACCCACTAACTCTACCCAAAACCGAAAACCCATCTTCCCCATCTTCTTCTCTTCAGTTTCACCGATTCCAGGTTAGGGCTTTTCTTGTTTCTAAAATTTCCTCATCAATTTCTTTATTTGTCTTTCAATCTTGTCAAGCTATCAGGCTCATTAGTCGACTAATCCAGGCTATAGTCGGCTATTCTAGGGTTTCTACTGTTTGGGGTATACTTCTAAACTTGATCTTTCATTCTCTTGTTATTTATCTAGTTCATCATGTTTAGATCTAAGAAAGCTAAGCAAACTCACAGTTCTCTCAATGATGAAATCATTGTTTATTTAAGAAGTCCTGAATTATTGGAAGAATTTAACAGACTTTCAACTTTAGAAATTCTTACAGGACGATTTGTGAAGTTCGATGATTTCATCCCATGGAACTTTAGTTCTTATTTTGAAAATGTGGGCTTGCTTGAGTTATTTTCTGCTGAAAATAAGAAACCATCATACCCATTTCTTGTGCAACTGTTCTATACCAATATAGAACGTGTGGGTACAATTGGTGGTTCTGAAAAAATTAAAACCCTTGTTAAAGGAATGGAGATTGAATTAACTACTAAAACAATTGGTAAAATATTCAACATTCCTTATCAAGGAGTTTCTCTTAGCTCTGTTAGGATGAATGATTCAGACTTGCTATCCAATCACATATTTCTTCCAGGACATGGAAAACCTTTGAACAATTCAAACAAACTTCGTCCATTTCCTAGGTTCATTGCTCGTATCCTAGCCTATAACTTATTTCCAAAAACTGGAAGTTTTCATTTCATTTCCCTAGAATTAGCAAAAGCTATATATGCTATTATGGGAAATATTCAAGTTAATTGGGCTGAGGTTTATTTTGATAATTTTCTGACCATTCCTAGAGGATTTCTTCCTTATGGTGCATTCCTGACTAAGATCTTTGATAAATTCCATGTTGATCTCAAATCTGAAAAATCTGTTGTCCGTTCAATTGAATTTTTTGATTCAAATGCCCTAACTAGGATGAAATTGACAAATTTTGAAATCCAAGATCACAATCCTCAAAATGAACCTGTTCAAAATGAACCTGAACTTCAACAAGAAGATATTCCACAAACCTCAACTCAAGCTGGAGCCTCTTCAAGTCAACCTCCACCATTTCCTACTGAACCTTCATGTTTTTCAGACGTGCAATACAATACTTTGAGTGCACGTACCCTAGAACTGGAAACTGGTCAAAGAGCTCTATATGCACAAAACAGATACATCATCAGTAATCAAGAAGAGCTAATCAAAAAGTTTGAAGACTTGGACTCAAAGCTTAATTCATATTTTCAAGGCCAACAACCTCCTCCAGCATCTTAGGATTTGTTTCTGTTTTTATTTGTCAAAACAATTATGTTATTATGTTTAAAACTATGTGGTTGTGTTGCTATTATGTCAAGTTTGCTACAATATGACTGTGTGTTAAGTTTGCTACTATGTTAAGTTTACTATTTGAATTGCTACTATTTTGGTTAGTTAATATAACTGCTATATATTTTAAACAGATCATGGTGATGAACATTGTGGAACTTGTAGTCTTTATGGCAAGTCTTTGCCTACCAATATGGATGGGTGAAGTTATGGACTATGTTCATAACCTGGATGATTTGTTTGAAGTGTTAGCTCATGTTGACGAAATTATGTTATGCTTAAATTCCTCTTTTTGTTGATAACAAAGGGGGAGAAATAGTTAAGTTTTGTGTTTTTTATTTATGTATGTTAAAAACTTTGCATATAGCAGGGGGAGTAAGTATTATATGTTTTAAGTTTTAATATGATGCATAAATTATTTGTTATCATCAAAAAGGGGGAGAATGTTGAATATCATATCTCCATGATAGTGTTTTGATGATAACAATTTATATTGTGTGTGCACTAACTTTCATATGCAGATTTCATTATCAGAATCTGTACAAGTGCAAGTGGATATCAAGGTATTTTGAAGTGAAGAAAATGAAGAACAAAAGATAATGTATTTGATTTTTTTCTTTACTTAGAATATTTGTACAAGCATTGATCACACACACGCACACACACACAATTTTAGAACACACTAACACAGGCTTAGTGTGTTGGTTAACTATAGAAATCCCCTATGTTAACCATTAGAATAGTAGTTAAAACTTAATTATAAAAACTCATTATTTCTGAATATTTGATCTTAATAGTCGACTAATTAGAATAATAGTCGACTAATCATGTATATAACTCAAATACAAGTTTCTGTCTGTTTACAGTATAGTCGACTAATTAACATTATAGTCGACTACTGAAGAAAATGTCAGTTTTCAAGTTTCTGTCAAATTACAGTATAGTCGACTAATGATCATTATAGTCGACTACTGAGAACATTTTCCGAAAACACAGAGTCTGTCTGAACTCAGTGTAGTCGACTAATGACTACAGTAGTCGACTACAAGAGACAGTTTTTCAGTTTTCAGAATTTTTCAGTGTAGTCGACCAATGAGCATTATAGTCGACTACTGAGAACACTTTCTGAAAACACAGAGTCTGTTTGAACTCAGTGTAGTCGACTAATGACTAAAGTAGTCGACTACAAATGACAGTTTTCCAGTTTTCAGAATTTAAATTTCTGACAGTTTTTAGCCGTTTTTAAACGTTTTTAAACTTTAAAAACTTGTCTTTTCAAGGGCTATATATAGGTTATTTGTTCAGAAAAATTGCAGAGATATACATACCCATAAGCTTTGATCTTTGTGCAATTTTTCAAGTGAAAAACATTCTGATTTTCTAAAAAAGAAGAGTTTCTGAAATTACCTATATACTTTCATCAAAAACAAATCATTAGGCAATTTTACAGAGATTAAAAGTATCCTAAGCTACTGCTGCACTTCAATACACATTCAAGCCTTATAGGATCATTGTGTTCTTGTTACAACAAGCTTTCTCTCGGTTGTGAGAGGGTTAATCTCTTGGCTTAGAGATTGGGGTTCAAATTGGCAAGGAGTTTGTCAATTGGTGTTGCAATTTGCAGGGACTTGCAAATTGGTCAGGTTTGCGTTTGATTTTGTAAGTTTATTCAAAATCATAGTGGAAACTCTCAAGCGGGATTTGCTTGGGGACTGGATGTACACCGGATTGGTGGAACCAGTATAAAATCCTTGTGTTTGTGTTTGCAAATTTCTAAGATTGTCATTTTTCTTTGCAATTTATTATCTACTTTGCAATAATTTTAAAAGAACACTATTCACCCCCCCCCTCTAGTGTTCTAGTGTATTTATTTCAGATCCTACAGAATTTAATTGTAAGATATTTTATATTTTCCGAGCTTTAACCATGGTTGTTTGGTGTTATCTTGAATTTATTTTTATGACGTACTCAAGCCGGTTGGAATTGGGGATTAGGACTAGCTAGAATTAGGCGTTTACTCATTGTAAAAAGTTAGGTTAGACGACTGGTTTTTGGTAGACTCCAGGGCGTGGTCTTGCAAGCTTACTAAATTGGATTTGGGATTCAGGACAACGTTTTTGAAAAGTGAGGAAGCTCGTTCATAAAAAAGAAGAGTGGACGTGAGATTGTTATCTGAACCATTGTAAAATCCTATGTGTTTATGGTTGGTTGCTATTTGTGTCTAATCACTTTTAATCGATTTTATTTTATTTAGCTGTATATTCTATGTTTTTTGCGAAAAACGGTGGCAACTTTATTCACCCCCTCTCCTTAGGCTTGCATCTCAATTCTAACAGTAGCTTCGAAATGGCTGAAGTAAGTAAGAGCTATTTCTTTCTACTTCCAAGCAAAAAAGATTGTTTGTTTCTCCAAAAGAACTACTTTCACTACTTTCTAAGACGTTGTCTGTGACGCCTACGTGACGCCTCTATTTCTTTATAGTTAAACAGCTCAGAAGCCTACATATGCAGATTGGGTACCCGTGAGAATAGGGATACCTCATAAGTCCATCAGAATCCCCACCCTATCTCTCTTGTGTGAGTCTCACCATCATCATTATCAAATTTTGCTAAAGCATATATTGTTTTGCACTAGTGACTATCACCATCATCATTATCAAAAAGTTGACGTGATATCTTTCAGCTTCAAATTACTTATCCACCCCCCATAGTACAACTATTATTTTTCTGAATAAAATGAGCCAAAAATACATTGAAATTCACCGGCAACTCTGTTGGAGGGTCACTATTTATTACACCCAACTATCAATCTTTTGTTCATGCCAAAACTACCGAAAAGAAAATCCCCCACGATGACTCTCTCTGTGACCACATTATCTCAATCCTTCGTAAAGCCAAGCGACCCAACTCCAGCCGAAACCCTCAAGCTCTCGGCCATCGACCGAGTGCCCGGGCTCCGCCACATGGTCCGCTCCCTGCACGTGTTCAAGCACGGGCAGAACCCTTGCGAGGTTATCCGAGAGGCTCTAGCTAAGGCTCTCGTGCACTACTATCCTTTCGCTGGTCGCTTCATTGAGTTGGAGGGTGGTGAGGTGGCGATTGATTGTAATGGAGAAGGGGCTTGGTTCGTGGAGGCAATGGCGAGCTGCAGCCTTGAGGATGTGAAGTACATGGACTATCCGCTGGTGATGTCTAAGGAGGAGTTGCTGCCTCAGGCGAGCCCAGAGTTTGATCCTCTTGACGTTCCGGTTATGTTGAAGGTATTACTTTTTTCAGGAGTAGAGTGTTCAGTGGATTATACTGAAGAGATACTAGTCGAATTGGTAAGATGTCTATGAGTATTACTCTAAGGTCAGGATGGACTCTAAGAGAGCACCCACAGGAATTTAATTTTTTAGAATACTCGAGGGGAAGCAGGGGTACCCCTTAGCCACTCTTAGGAGTTTGGTACACATAGTCTGAAGGATTGTTGGCAAGTTCCATCATTAAAAAAAGATGGATTATAACATATTATTGTTGTCAAAATAACCAAAAAAATATGGGATTAATGATGAGGCATGAAATAAGGCTTGAGATATTGTGAAATCATGATGAGTATGATTATTATTTTACTTAGTCAAACCTCAGGTTATAATCCCAAAAAGATAACTTGTGGTTCCCACGTTCACTTTTTTTTATTATAGTAATTCACTTACTAAATATCCAAAATTAAATTATAATCCACTTTCATCAATTATAATCCACTGAAACCATTTGCCAAACATGCTCTTTATCCTTGCTAGCTAGGGGGTGTTTGGTCGTTCAAAAGTGAACTGAAATTGTGTAAGTTACTTTTTTACAAATAACTTTCACATCCACATCAGCATGTAAGTAGAATACAATGTTTTTTCGAAAAAAATGAATTTATTGTTGAAAGTGCAATGTGAAGATGACGTGGCCAAATTAGATCAATTAGTAAATATAATTAAAATTTTTATTGTTGAAAGTGCAATGTGAAGATGACGTGGCCAAATTAGATCAATTAGTAAATATAATTAAAATTATTTAATAAAAATTGGTTACTATTAGATGACGTGGCCAAATTAGATCAATTAGTAAATATAATTAAAATTATTTAATAAAAATTGGTTACTATTTTTGTCACTTTCATGTGACTTCACTATTTTTTAGAGAAAGTCAAAATTGCATTAAATCCTATGTGACAACTCTCTTTTATTTCATTTTTGTAACCACTTGCATGCAAACAAATACATAAATTGTTAAAAGAAAGTCACTTTCTCACTTTTATCTTTCACTTACATGTAAACATATGAAGCATTTCTCTTCTCTTCTCAATCTCTGCTTCAACATAAGAGGGATGTTTGTTGGCATGCAAGTAAAATATGAAAGTTAGAAATTGACTTATTTTTAACATTTTAGGTGCTTATTTGCATGTATATGGTTACAAAAGTGAAATGCAAAAAAAAATTACCACATAAGATTTAATGTAATTTTGACTTTTTCTACAAAATAATAAAGTCACATAAAAATAACATAAATAATAACCAATTTTAATTAAATAATTTAAGTATATTTACTAATTAATTCTATATTGACACATCATCTTTATATTGAACTTTTAACAACAATTTCATTTTTAAACAAATATCATATTTCACTATAGGATTGCCAACATCGTTGTGAAAGTTATTTGCCAAAAAAATAAATAAATAACTTACAAATTTTCAATTCACTTCCAAAATGCCAAAAAAAGGTAACTTACAATTTTAAAACTTTGAGCTGTGACCAACTAATAATTGATTAGTTTACCTAGAATTGTTTTAAAAAGATATGTTGAAGTGTATTCTATTGAAATTTAGGTAACTGAGTTTACATGTGGTGGATTCGTGGTCGGCCTCATCTCCATCCACACCATCGCCGACGGCCTAGGCGCCGCCCAATTCATCAGGGCCATCGGCGATCTCGCCCGTGGCCCAAAACCAGCCGTCAACCCGCCGATCTTGTCTCGGGACCTCATCCCGACCCCACCTCAGCTTCCTCCCAGTCCTCCACTGGTGTTCCCGTCATTCAAGCTCGTGAGCTTCGTCACCGACCTCCACCCCGACTACATCAGCAAAATCAAGGCCTCATACTTCGAAACCACCGGCGAGCACTGCTCGGCCTTCGACATCTCCACGGCCAAAGCCTGGCAAGCTCGAACCCGTGCCATAAACCTGGACCGCGAAACTCCCGTCAGTGTATGCTTCTTCGCCAACACTCGTCATCTCTTAACCCAAGAAGGCGGGTTCTACGGCAACTGCTTCTACCCTGTGACCGTGACTGCAACGAGTGGAGTCGTCACGAGCGTAAAGATTCTTGATGTGGTTCAGATTGTTAGAGATGCGAAGGCGAGGCTGCCGATGGAGTTTGGGAGGTGGGGGAGGGGGGAGTTTGAGGAGGATCCGTTTACTTTGAAGTTTACGTATGATTCGTTGTTTGTTTCGGATTGGTCGAGGTTAGGGTTTCGGGAGGTGGACTTCGGGTGGGGGATGCCCGCGAATGTGGTGCCGTTCTCGTACGTTGACTTCATGGCGGTGGCGATATTTGGGGCGCCACCGGTGCCAAAGAAGGGGATGAGGGTTATGACGAAGTGTGTGGAGGAGGAACACCTGCAGGTGTTTCAGCAAGAGATGAAGAACTTGGTGTGATAACTTGTCAATAATATTGTTTATACATTATATTGCTTTCTACTTTTTTTTTTCGTCCTTCTAATTCTAGCAAGTTATTCCTACTTATGTTCCACGTATAACCTGTGTTTTCTGTATTTAAAATAAAGGAAAGTTTGTTTTTATTTTTATGGCTTTGTAAGAATAATTATGCGTTTGCTTCACGTGTTAGACGAATACAAAGTTAGGGTTATCTGAATATATGCCCCCCTTCATGTACCTTTGCAAAAAGGTCCCCTTAGATTTATTTTATGCTTATAGAATAGATTTATTTTCTTGCATTTAATTCTTGTAATTTTATTTTATAGTTTAGATTTTGCAATTTATTTTATAGTTAGATTTTAATTTCTTATACTATTCACCTTGAGGCTAGAACCCTCTTGGGTTTAGTTTTTCTTTTTGTTTATTTTTATTTTGTTTGATTCGCCTTTAGGCTAGAACCCTCTAGGGAATCACCATTTTCTAAGAAGTGAGTTCAATTTTAGATTACCCATATCTATAATTGAATCCACCATCTTTAATTTCTTGTATTTTCTTTTATTCTAGAATTTTGTTCTTTATTCTTGATTTTTTATTTGTTTCTTGATTTTATTCATTTTTTTCTTCTTGCCTTATTGATCACACTCATTCTTTGTCACATCCACTCTCACTTAAATTTTGCGCCGTTTCACACACTATCACTTTCACTCTCATTATCTCTCCACAATCACATTTACTCATCACTCCTTTTTGTCACGCACACAAAATAAGAACCAATTATATATTTTCTCCTACAAAACACCTTCTTCGTGGGATCGATATCTTAAATACTATAACTTGACACGGTTGTGCCCTGCACAATTGCGGGTCGGATTGACCCGACCCGCACAATTGCGGGTCGGATTGAACCGACCCGCGCTTGTGCGGGTCGGATTGATCCGACCCGCGCTTGCGCGGGTCGGTTCGTTCCGTCCTGCGCTCGCGCAGTTTTGCCAACTTTTCCTTTTTTCCTTTCTCTTTCTTCCGAGACTTGTTCTTCTCGCGTGTTTGGTCGATTCGTTGACTTTTATCGCAACGCCGCAAGACCGACCATCGAACGCGCTTTGGTTAATATACGCGTGTTGATCGATGCGCGCGGACTGATTGGCGTGCGCGCGTTGATCGACGCGCACGAGCTACCGACGCGCACGAGATGATTTGACGTGGGCTGACTGATTGGCGAATTTTCTTGACTCCCCCATTCATTGCTTCGAGTTTCGTGCGGGCTATCATAGGCAATTTTAGACGCCTACAGATACCCCCTCCAAAGTGTTTCAGCCTCATTCTTTTATAGAGGAGTCTGAAATACTTTGGATATGATGGATCTCCACCTTCAGTCGGTGTTAAAGGACCTATCGATGGTTTCGATTCTTGACTTCTCCATATTTTAGCATATTCTGTGTTTTATCGAATAGCTAAGATTTTTCCGATACTGCGTTTATCGTCTGACCGTTATTGAAGCCTTGAACCGGAACTTGTGAGTAGATTTTTTTGTGGATGTGTTATTGAGTTGACTTTTGGATCAATCGCAACGCGTTGACCAGCGTTGACCTAGAGCTACGCGTTGACCGGCGTTGGCCTTAGGGTCTTGAATCGATCGGCGTTGACTCTCACTGCAACGCGTTGACCGACGTTGACCTAGGGCTATGCGTTGACTGGCATTGACCTTAGGGTTTCGCATTAACCTGAGAAGAACCAGTTTATACTCGTGTACTCCTGGGAGTTTCGGGAGTTAGTTTAGCCTCGTGTACTCGTCGGAGGTTGCCAGGTTATCCTTAAGAATCATTATATGTAATATTCTTCAGGAACTTCCTGTCAAAATGGGAAACAGTTTAGACTCATGTACCCATTGGAGTTTACGTGGGACCCGAATACCCTGAAAGTGAGCAGAATGCTTCAAAGTTATCCAAAAGTGGCTCTCGAATATTCCGATGATGGGCGAAAACATCGTAAAACGATCGAGAATGTGAAATCGGACTCCGAATATTCCAAAAGTGGGCTAAAATACCGCGAAGTCATCCAAAATATGAAATTGGGTCCTGAATATTCTGAAAATAGGCGAAAATATCGCGAAATCACCCAAAATACAAAATTGGGTCCCGAATATTCTGAAAATAGGCGAAAATATCGCGAAATCACCCAAAATACAAAATTGGGTCCTGAATATTCTAAAAATGGGCGAAAATATCGCAAAATTATTCAGGAGATGGAATTGAACTCAGAACATTCCAAATATGAATGAAAATGCCGCGAAATTATCCAGGAAATAAAATTGAACTCCGAAAATTCCGAATTTGAGTGAAAATGCCGCCAAATTATCCGGGAGATAAAATTGAACTCTGAACGTTCCAAATATGAGCGAAAATGCCGCGAAATTATCCGGGAGATGAGGTTGGACTCCGAACATTCGAAAAACGGGCGAAAACAGGCGAAAATACAGCTAAACGAGCCCTGAACTGGGTCTGACCCGCGTCAGATGAATCCGACCCGCGTGATCGCGAGTCGGATTAATCCGACCCGCGAGCACGCGGGTCGGACAAAAATCTGACCCGCGGAACGCGGGTCGGAGAGGGCTCAAAAAATCCCGATTCTCTCTTCTTTCTTCAAGTTCAGTCCCAGACTCCTTTTTCCCCTTTTTATTTTCGGTTTCCTTCTTCCTTGAGTTCTAATTCCTCAAGAACTCTTGTCCCCCAAGAATTCTGGACGAGATCAAAGCCCCTAAGCTCTTTAAATCCTTCAATTTTGCTAAGATCAAGCCTCCAAACAAGCTCCTGATCTTTGGCCGAAATCCTCATCTTCCCACAAGCTAGGGTTTGGGATTTTCTTCGTCTTCAAGCTCCACTCTTCTTGAAATTTGGGTAAGTTTTCTTCCATGGCTTGTTGTAATTTCAGTTTTGATTTCTTGCCCTTTTTTTATGCATATATATAGATGGCCGAAATTCTTGGGGGAAAAACAAAATTTGATTTGGGGTTTTGAATGGTGGCCGAATTTTTGCTTTTGTTGTGTTCCTGGCTTGATGTTTGAGAACCTAAATCTTCAAATTTTAGGGAAAACCGAAATTTTTTGAGCTTTGAGGGTTGATGGTGGCCGAAGAACTTGATTTGTTTGAGCCCTTAACTGTACATGGCCGAAATTCTGGACTGTTCATGGCTTGTGTTAGCCGAAATTTCTTGGTTGAGGGTGGCCGAACCTTGATTGCATATAGCCGAAATTTTGTTGAGATTTTGGTTGATGACTTGATGACTTAAATCCATAGTTCTCGAATCCGTACATGGTCAAAACAAAATTCGTTGAGCTGTTTGGACTGTACATGGCCGAAATTTCATCTTCGTGGTTGATGATTATGGATTTGAGTCTCGAACTTATACATAACCCGACTCTTGACCGAATTTTTGTATGGTTTGAACTTGTATGTGACTTGATTTCGAATTTGCATGTAGCCGAGCTCTTGTATATAATTAAATTTGTGCATGACTTGAATCCGAACTCGTATGTGGTCGAATGACTCACTCGAATTCGTACTTGTATATGGTTTGAGCTTCGAGCATAACTGAATTCTTGTATATGATTGTACTCTTGTATGGTCCGAACTTGTACATGATTGAACTCGATGTGACTGAATCCAAACTTGTATGTGGTCGAAATAACTTGAATCCCAACTTGTGTATGGCTCGAGAACTTCATATGCCTTGAATTTGTACATGTGATTGAACTCTTGCATATGGTTGAACTCTTGTATATAATTCAAATTCGAATTTGTATATAACTAAGCTCTTGTATCATTGAATTCATATATAACCGAACTCATGCATGCCTTGAATCCAAACTTGTGTATGACTCAAGAACCTTATATGCCTTGAATTCGTGCTATTCTTGTATATGATTGAGCTTGTGAATCCACATGTTGACACGATCGAGGCTTTATATTTGACTCTGTGACACTTAATCTTGAACCGAGAATGTCGTATAGGTTTAATTGGACCCTTAATTGGAAAATTCCATTTTTTAGAATTTCAATTAAACATTCACAATTTCCCTTTTAGTCATTGATTCATGTATCTTGATTCTCGATCTGACCGAGCTGTTGGTCTCTATTGCAGATTAGCTATGTCGACAAGGAGATCACGCCTCCCGAGTAGCCGCTCAGCCACTCAGTCACCTGAGAGGGAGCACTTGTCTTTAACTGGTAAGCCTTTGTAATTTTCTGTTCATGAATTCCAAATTTTTTATATCATGTTGCATATCGCATACCCTCTCTGTCCTCCTTGGTGAGGCAGTCGGGAAGAGCTGATACCCTCCTTTGTGGGGGTGGATGCTTCTATATTACATCCCCGCCCTGTTCTCCTTGGTGAGGCAGTTGGGAAGAGTTGACATCCTCCTTCGTGTGGGTGGATGCTTGTCGGATACGTTTTGCTTGGTCAAAACGCACCCTAAGGTAATGTGGGGCGATTTCTGCCGTATTACGTTCCGTAAGATAGGGTACATCACTGCGTTATTTGCTCGAGAATGTACATTATCTTATGAGTTCGTGATACAGCTAAAATCATCTCGCCAATTACAAGGTAGTGACTCGGATTGGTGAAAAGAGTTCGACCCCCTGTGTCGCCTAAATATTTCTCCATAACTGCATTTGATAGACACGCGTTACTTATTTCAGTTGAATATCCTGCAATGTCGTGTTCTCAATACGAGATAGATGGCCGTAGGAGTAGCTATTACACTGCCGTTGATAATCCGGCGTCAATCCCGCGCACTTCTCAATTCGCCTTGGACCTCCCGGATAAATTCTGTAAGTTGGTACGGGAGGGAAGTCATCGCATCACGCGCCAATTAATTACCGACGCGCCGTTTGCTGAAGATACGGATCCCGATCATCCTTTAAGGAAGACCCATTACCTGTTTGGCGATTCTGCGACGGATCCCGATGTCATAAAGCTTGTGGATGAGCGGTGGCTATACAGTGACGGCATAACTTGCTTATACCTTCCTCAATTCCCTCGTCACCGTTCACTAACAAAATTGCGCGGGCAAGCGGTGACGCAACAAATGCCGTGGACCTTAATAGAGGAACATACCAATATCCCTTGCGGATACATCACCAGCCATTCAC